TTTATAGGGGTTGGAGGCCTTCATACAAAAACGTTTTACTTGCGGTGAGAAATAATTTGAATATTCCCTGCTCTAGCCAATTGCCAACAGAAGACTTAGAAGCAGAGATTTTTCTTTATCTTGTCGACAATTTCTCGAGGTATTCGGGGTGACCCCTTTAGTTTCGCTGCAAGCTTTTTCAATTGAGTGAGTTCTTTTGAACTCCTTTTTTTTTTCACTGCAACCTCTAACTTATCTATATAGTGAAGCATCAGGGGTTTTTCCAGGCTTGTGGGAAAATTCTGAAGTCTCAGAGGCAAAGGGAAGCTTAGAACTCGGGCTCAGTAAATGGAAAGTTGAACTACTTGCTGCACTACATGTTGGTGCTACAGAGGTCCAATCTATGATTCTGAAGGTAGTCTTGTTTTAAGATGTCTCACTTTTGAAATAATATGTTTGTTCTCAATTTATGATTCTTGTTACATGTGTTTTTGCTTCTTCAATTTTCTTGCAGGGTGGCGGCGTGATCACATTTGCCAAAGTTTATCAGTTGGTATGAAATCGATAACAGTTTGTGTGCTTAAACTTCTTCTTCTCTGAGGCGAAACAAATAACTGGTATATTCTGGCCCTATATAGTTGGCTAAGAAACTATCGGGAAAAGTATTCCTTGAAGCTGCCAACTACCAGATTAGGAAAGAGATGCTAAAAAAGGTTTGCATCTGTATGTATTTCATCATACTGCATAAGAATTTTTCATCATCACTCAGGGATTTGAGAAGCATGAAATCATGAAGTTCCTGAGAAGCATTACATGTCAATGATGTAACGAATTGATATGTCGATACATCAAACTCTTTCTACAGGGTGGACAGTTAGCTGCCATTAACATGGAATCTCGAGCAGCTCTGCTTGCAGCAAAGCATGTATTTATTTTTTTCCATCTCTCGTTTATTTCCCTCTACCTATCTATTGTCTTTGAGCTATCTTCATTACGTAAACCATGTTTCGCCTTATAATGTGATTACAGTGACTTTTATTGATCGTACAGGGCTTTGCAGGAGCTGCAGCCAGATACATTGGCTTAAGAACAGCGATGCAATTACTCGGCCCCATGTAGTTTACACTGCTCTAATCCTAGATAACATAGCATTTACATTACATATGGATCTGCATCTAATTCTTCTTAACTTGTTTATATCCGGACAATAATTGTGGAATTTGCAGGATGTGGGGGACATTACTGGCTGACTTAGTTATTCAGATGCTCGAGACTGACTACGCTAGAATCTTAAGAGCAATTTACGCTTTTGCTCAGGTACACTTCTCTTTTGCATCAAAGTCTGCATTTACTTAGTTTTAAGATTCAAAGGTTGTTTAAAAGCATTGTTTTGTTTTGCAGATTCGGATCACCAGGACATACAGGCTACCTTGTAAATGAAGTCACAGTTTTGTTTTCTCAATCTCAGTGTCCCTACGAATTATGTCGGCAAAATGTTTATCACACTCGTATAATTCGCTTGTGGTTGAAATGAAATTAGACGGTACTCGAATAGATAGAAAAGAGTGCTCATGTTTTGGAGCCACGGAAACAATGTTTTAACATATTTGATTCCTTAGTGGTAACGAGCGCCGAGCGGATAAGCGACGTGTGGGGTTCTTTGTGACACGTGTCTGCTCCGTGGAACAAGGTAAAAGATATTAGTCCTTTAAGCGCTTACCACGTGTCTGGTCAGTAACCCTCTAAAGCAACTGCTCTTGTTTCTTTCACGACGATAAGCCGCCGCGTTTCTCCACGTGGCTTTTTGTCGGAATTTCATACTATTCTTTTGCAAACAATCTTATTATAAATTAGGCAAAATTCCTAAAAAAATTCTCAACTATTTAATATTGGAAAAAATGTCGTTAAAATCCCCAACTTATTCAAAACGTTGATTTAAATCCTCAACTCATGACGAAACAAAATAAATATCAAACTTATGTTGACTTTCCAAATAAATATTAAACTTTTGTTGACTTTCCAAATAAACACCAAACTTTCATTGACTTTCCAAATAAATATCAAACTTCCGTTGACCTGATCATATTAGGTACGACGTTAAGTGGGTTACTAAATTCTCAACTCATGACAAAACGAAATAAATATCAAATTTATGTTGACTTTCCAAATAAATATCAAACTTATGTTGACTTTCCAAATAAATATCAAACTTCCGTTGACCTGGCCATATTAGGTACGACGTTAAGTGAGTTAATAGATCTCGTAAACGGAGGTAATTTTCTGTTAACATATATGTTAATTGATAACGACGTCGTTTTGTCGTAACGATTGAATTAAATCCCTAAAGTCAATCTTAGATCCCCAAATCGAGCAAAATCCCTAACCCTAAATAGAGTATGATTTGAAACTCGAGATTTTATTGAACAGTTAATACAAAACAACGTCGTTTTATGTTTAGAAGGAATACTTGTTAGTGTTTTGATCAACAAACGAACTCTGTATGAAGAACAAAACCAAAATAAAAAATAGAATATGAAGAAACTTGATTTTTATTGATAAGAGAAAATGTATTACAAACAATGATGTTATTGAGTTTGACTCGATCTACTTATACAACACGAAACAACGTATACGTACATGTGTTAATCGAAAAGACACAACTTTACAAACAGACACAACTATACGTACGTACATTCGTGACTCTTACGTAAATAACTAACTTATAGGAATACGATTTTAGGTTATATGTCTTAGATGAGATTTGATTATAGTTCAACAATACTGTCATTTTTAATTAGCGGGTCTGTTAACAGAAAATTAATCCCGTTAACATTATCTGTTAACTCACTTAACGTCATGCCTAATATTGCCAAGTCAATGAAAGTTTGGTGTTTATTTGGAAAGTCAACATAAGTTTAATATTTATTTGGAAAGTCAACATAAGTTTGATATTTATTTCGTTTCGTCGTGAGTTGAGGATTTAAATCAACGTTTTGAATAAGTTGGGGATTTTAATGATATTTTTCCCATTTAATATTTGCCAGAAAAAAATCTGAACTTTTTTCGATGTCGGAAAAAAACCCCAACTAATTTACCGCAGACAAAAAAAACACGAACTATTTTATTTTTCCAATTTCCTCTCGTCTCCGTTACGGGCGTTAACGCCGTTGTTGACGCCGTTACTATTTTTTGGGAAAATTCTTGAAAAAAACCCAAGTTATTTAAGTTTGCCAGAAAACTACCCGAATTATTTGTTTGTTGCCAGAAAAATACATAGATTAACATTTTTCTTTTCTTTTTTTTTGTCTTCCATCAACAATGTAAGATGGTAAGAGCTCATAACTTTTATGTGTTATCTTGAACCTCATAAAAGTTTTCATTTTTCACTATTACTTAGGACAATTAAATTTAAGAACAAAAATATACAAATAGATTAGTCGATTTTTAAATTTTTAAATTAGATTTGTTTTTGGATCTATTTAGACTTTACAAATTTTGGGACATCATCAACAATAAAACACTAAATTTCATAAAAGCCCCAAAAATTTTGGTAGATCTTCAAAAATTCTCTACATAAATCGCAAAAAAAAATACTCCAATCAAGCAAAATCCACCAAAATTGAAGGTAAAGCTAGCTTAATCAAACCAACTCAACGCTAAAAAAAACGACTAATCTAATTGTATTTTTTTTTTGTTCTAGTTAAAAAATTAGAGAATCAACTAATGTAATTGAGAGATTTGTTCTAATTGGAAAATTGAAAAATCGATTAATATAATTGTAGTGAGAATTTGTATGAGGTTCAAGAGAACATATAAAGTTATGAGGTCTAACCACCTTACATTGTTAATGAAATAAAAGAAAAAGAGAAAAATCTTGATCTGTGTATTTTTCTGGCAACAAAAAAATAATTCAGATATTTTGCTGGCAAAATTAAATAACTTAGGTTTTTTTAAGGAATTTTTCTAAAAATAGTAACGACGTCGACGACGGCGTTAACGGCCGTAACGGAGACGAGAGGAAATTGGAAGAAAAAAATAGTTCGTGTTTTTTTTTTCAGGGATAAATTAGTTGAGGTTTTTTTCCGGCATCGAAAAAAGTTCAGGTTTTTTTCTGGCAAATATTAAATAGTTGGGGGATTTTTTAGGAATTTTCCCGATAAATTATGCTATAGTTGTGCCAATAATGCGTTACTAGGCGAATTATTACTAGATTTTTAGTCTCATTTTTTTATTTCTGAGTTTAGATTTAATTGAGTTGTCCTACACAGCCGAATTGATGCAAACATAGTTAAATGCTCCTTAATTATGTCTAGAAATCTTTCTATTAGTGTGGAGTGAACATGCGTGGTTTCAGTTTCTGGGGTTACCAAAATCCGGAATGATTAAGACAGTTTTGTTTTCGTGGTTCTTATTTTCAAACATGTGGTTAATTTCATTTGTGGCCCTCGCTGAAAACGAGACTTTATATTTTCTAAAGAAAGATGAATAAAATTCAAATTGAAATTTGATATCACGAAACCTCTATTGTACAATCGTCCAAAAAATCATGACGTGACGTACTAGGCATGGTTAAAAATAACTAACATACTTGGATAATACCAATACTTTTTTTTGGATAAAAATATTATCCAACACTTGTGACATTTATTTTTAATTCTTTTCTTTTTTAAAAGCTAAAATTCATAAGACCAAAAAAAAATAAGTAGACTTTTCTTACACATGGCCAAAAATTTGTTAATAACTTTAATTATGTGGTTTTCATTATTATTGTTGGGATTTTTATTTTTTTTGTTATATTTTGAACGTATATATTCTATATATTTTAAATTAAGGGATAAATAAGAAGGTCTGTAGAAAATTCATAATTGTTGGAAAGAGCTTTTTATAGATAGGATCATAACACCAAAAAAAAATAAGTAGACTTTTCTTACACATGGCCAAAATTTTCTTAATAACTTTATGTTGGGATTTTTATTTTTTTTGTTATATTTTGAACGTATATATTCTATATATTTTAAATTAAGGGATACATAAGAAAATTCATAGTTGTTGGAAAGAGCTTTTTATAGATAGGATCATATGATAGGACGGTCTTTTAGGGGTAAAAAATATTTTTAAAATAAATGAAAATAATCTTGACCTTACACGTGTAAACTCTGGAAGAATCTACTCGTCTCTTCTTCTCCTATACCTCATCCCAAAGCTACGAAGACAACTCTTCCAAGTTCCAAACAAATATCACAAAAAGTAATAAACTAATAAAACAAATTCTATGTTTATTTAAAAAATTGTTCATTTCCTTAAAAGATTATTCTCTCAAATCCTTTCACTCTCATCATCATCTTCTTCTTCTTCTTCTTCTTCTTCTTCATAAGCCATTATAAAGCTCTGTTTTTTTACCCTGTCTATATAAACAGAGGAAGCCCTAAATTTGGATTCTCTATTCAAAGTTTTCCCATTTCGCTAATTTTGGAGAAGAAAAAAAACGATTTTTATTTTTAATCGTTTTTTGCATTTCTGATTCATTTCTTTGGTTTATGATCTGTTCAAGTAAAGGAACAACCTTAATCGCTAGCGGAAAAAATTCAAATTCAATCCCAAGATTACCCCTAACAGGGTCATCCACAAATCGGATTCAAATTCGAAACCCAATCAGTGTCGAAAAAACATTCCGACGATCATCGTCATCGTCATCATCAATGGCGGTGGAAACAATGTCGATGGGATCAGATTCATCAACTTTGATTCTAACATCTGGAGCAAGCGGTCGCGTTAGGGTACTCTTCTCGATGCGAGAGCTCAAGCGTCTCGTCACGTTTATCCAGTCGTTGATTCTCTTCCTCCTCCTTCCTTTTCGCGTCGTCGTTTGGCGGAGGAGGACTGGTGCGGTGGTCATCAGAGACGATAAACAGGAGAGAAAGGTTTGGTCTCCGCCGCAGATCGTGGTGAGGAAGAGGAACATCGGTGGCGAAAGCGGATGCAGCGTTTCGCCTCCGTCGGTTCCGGCGGCGGTGGTAGATGAGGAGGTTGCTGTTAGACGTGAGCTGGCGATTAAGCGAGTATTGGAAGATGAAGGCGGCGATGGAAGCTCCGTCAGAGATTATTCGCTTTTCACGACGAAGAGAGGGGATACGTTGTTTACTCAGTCATGGTCACCTCTTTCCCCAAATCACAGGTCATTTCTCCTTCTTTTTTAATCATTGACGGGTTTTTCGACATGAGTTGGTTGATTTGAATTTGATTAATCTATTACTCCCTCTGTTTTTTAAAAATTGTCGTTTTAACTGTATTTGGATAAGAAAATGTATACAATGATTATATTAACCTCATAAAAATGACAAGTAATTATTTACAAATAATTTGTGTTCAATAAAATGAGGGTAATTTGGGTAGTTATTGGCATAAATTACATTATTACTTTAAAACGACAACTAATTTAAAACAAGAAAAAAGCTCTAAAACGACAACTATTCGAAAACGGAGGGAGTAGTATTTGTCAATCTTTAGGATCAATTCAAAATATACATAATTAGCCTTTTGAGTTCATGTGAGTTTTGTCTAATTACAGAATCTTTGTCAATAGGATGTTTCTGGAAATTAGTAAGTGAAGAATAAAATTCCCAAATTTTTTAGAAGGAGAATATATTTCTGTTGGATTTTTTTTTTGTCTGGTGGTCCTAATTAATATGTTGGCTATAGCTTGAGTAATTTGAATATTGTGGTTGATCCCGTAGATATTATTATATATATATATTCCTTGTTCCTATGGTTTATTAGTTTGATTTGCTTAACCAGAGAGAGTCATATATATTTTTGTTGAACTAACTTTTTAATAGTGATCATAATTTATTCAAGTATCAGGAGTAGATTTAGTTGGTAAGCATTTCTTGAGATTTATGAAGAAAAGATGAAGCAGATTAGCTGGGAAAATGTAGAGACAGATGAGTTTTGCTTGTCAAAGTGGTTTTTAAGGATCAATATTTTATACATATGACTTTGTACAATAGTGATCTCTTTGTACAGAGTATAGTCCCTTTCAAAAGACAGGCAATCTGGTTTAATGTTTCGTTAACACTTTCACTTTCCTTTCTTTTAATATGATTTTGAAACTTTCATGCCTCTGATTTTGTAAAGCTATTCTGAGTAAATAGAAGTCAATAAAGTGGTAACCTTCAATCATTTTCTCATCTTTTTCTATATTTGTTCTTGCAGGGGACTTATTGTTCTGCTACATGGATTAAACGAGCATAGGTTTGTACCTATTTCTCTAGTTATGCACCATTTGATTTTATTCTAATTTTCTTGGTATTAGGAAGCTTAACATTTGTTTCTTTTTTCAAAATTTTGACAGTGGCAGGTATAGTGATTTTGCAAAGCAGCTTAATGCTAATGGGTTCAAGGTCTATGGAATTGACTGGATCGGTAAGTAATCTCACTTCTTTTCAGTTTTGTTATCGTTTTGATGGTCATCGTAGCTAAAGGATCCTCTATAGACTGTAAGCGTTTGCGTTTTTTGTCCTCTTGCTCGTACATCACAAGAAAAATTAACGAAGTATAAACCTCAACATGGTTTTCAACGACAAATCTTGATAAATTTAAGGTGTTGAGTTAAAGTTTTGGACATAGTAGCCATGGTAGTAGTCTTGATCTTGAACATTTGGTCGGATAGTTGAAACACGTTCTGGATGAATAGATGCAGACCTTTAATACCTTTAAAGTGCAGAAACATGAGAGAGTCTTTTTACGATGCAACTGTTTCATAGGCTAGATACAAAACTCTTCAACCATACCTCTCTGTGTTTGGCTGTCGCAGGGAATATTGTGATTTTTGTTGGGGTGGTGCCTAATTCGTGTGGAAAGGTGACACATGAATCCCATCTTTAGCTTTATACTTCTGACAACTTAGGATCTATGATTTGTAATATTCGCAAACAACTTTAACATCTCTCAGATCTCCATATAGCTTCTGCGTCTTTATAGCCTTTTTCTGATATCTCCCTGAATGATAAACTTCCAAATCTGTAATCATGACTGACAGGAGACACTCTTTGGTTTTAATCCAACAGGTCATGGCGGAAGTGATGGACTTCATGCTTACATTCCTTCCCTTGATTACGCTGTAGCAGATTTGGTATGTCGGAGTCTCCGCCTCTCTGGTAATAGTTTCCAAAGCATCCTATTGTTGAAACAAACTCACACTATCACATTTGCAGAAATCATTTCTTGAAAAGGTATTCACAGAGAATCCAGGACTCCCCTGTTTCTGCTTTGGACACTCAACAGGTGGAGCAATCATCCTCAAGGTAACATCTTTAGACCCATTAAATAACATCATTGTTTCATTCGAGAACTTCAAAAATCTAAGCATAACAATTTAAGTGCAGGCTATGCTGGATCCAAAGATTGAATCTCGAGTTTCAGGCATTGTATTGACTTCACCAGCTGTTGGAGTCCAACCATCCCATCCAATCTTCGCAGTAAGTTAATCCGAAAAGTTAGTCATAATTTACGCGTTTTCAGACAATTCGTAACAATCTGATCAGTTCTCTCTGTTGTATTGTTTCCAACAGGTTCTTGCTCCAATCATGGCGTTCCTCCTGCCCAGGTACCAAATCAGTGCAGCAAACAAGAAAGGAATGCCGGTCTCTCGTGACCCAGCAGCTCTTATCGCCAAATACTCTGACCCGTTAGTCTTCACCGGATCCATCCGAGTTAAAACTGGCTACGAGATCCTTAGAATCACTGCTCACTTGCAACAGAACCTGAACAAAGTGAAAGTTCCTTTTCTTGTGATGCACGGTACAGACGACACAGTAACCGATCCTAACGCTTCAAAGAAGCTCTACGAGGTAGCTTCCTCGTCAGACAAATCAATCAAGCTCTACGACGGATTGTTGCACGATCTTCTCTTCGAACCCGAACGAGAAATCATCTCTGGAGCCATAATAGATTGGCTAAACCAGCGGGTTTAGCTCGTTCAAACCAACAATCACTATCACTTCGAATCAAGAATCTCTTGATTCAGACAAGAATAATTATTTCGCGAAATTTTCTGGGTAATTGACTGAGAAACGTGAGGAAAAAAGAAGTTCTTGGTCGATTTAGCAACCTCTTGGTTGATTTTTCTCAACTCGGAAGTAGAAAGAAGATAGAGAAAAAGAGCCTCCAAATCTTGACTCTCTTGCTACTATGCTTCTTGACGTCGGTATATTGTCATAAATCAATAATTTTTGTAACCTTGGATTTTGTTATCTTATACCTGTAATACCGATTATTATTTATATCGAATCTATAAGTGATTTGTCTATTTCGATAGTTTTTCTCTCTTGTCCAAGAAAAACAAATTGTGTGGTGGTCATTGGTATCACACCCTTAACAAGAAGTAATATATATTTCTTCAATACGGCTATATTTTTACACTGGATTTGGTCGGTAATTTCTTACCATTATAGTAAACATATCTCGTTTTGACAGTTATCAACAAAAAAAAATGGGATTATTTTTCCTAAGTTGCTACTATAATTATCGTTATTTTTTTCAAAAAAAGTATGGTTATAATCGCTAGCAGTTGTCATTTTTCACAATTTTTTTATTGTTTGTGTTACCAATTTGACTATTGTTTGTTTTGTCAACTAGATTGCATGCCTCAGTTTATGTACTAGCATATATATATATATATATATATATATATATATATATTTGTAACCTAGTTAAATTTAGGATATGGCAAACTAGAAATGTTTGGTTGTTGGCGTTTGGCACATTTTGCATAATTAAACTGCCTTAATCTATAAATGATTTTATGGACTCCGCTCAACCAATACATTAATGGTCTGAAACTAAATGAAAATTCATCAAAATGATATATATAGATATATGTTTCTTAACATTTGGGACGTGTATAAATGGTAGAATATGCAAGGTTAACCGCGCTCTTCTAGGATTCGAATTCCAGCTCCTAACTTTCTCTTTGACGTTGTCTTTACTTTTTATCTTCAAAGGTGGTGAGAAAACGGTGGGCTTGGTGTTTGGTAGGAATTACTGAATTAGAGCCCAAAAATATGCGTTGATTATATGTGGGCCAATGGATAAGGGTGAATGAAAAAAGATACAAGTAGTGATTCGAAAAAAAAAAAAATTATATATATATATATATATATATATATTTAACAGATCGTTGTATTATGGAGAATTAGAGATGCAGATTATATAGAAAGCCTAAATCATTCCATCAACCTAAATAGTGAAATGACAAACAAAATAAAAAATGGACTGTTTTGGATTTGTCAACAGATAAATACAAGAACAATAAAGAAGGACATTTCAATAAAATAAAAGTAAGGTAACCGGAAAGATCAATTTTAAAAATCAAAAAGGAATATTTTATAAATATTGAAACCTTTCTACTTTATTATAAACTAATAGTTTATTTAAAATAAGATAAATTAGATATTTGAGACGAACAAGACGACCAAACTCCATTTCTTCCCATTGATCCTCCTAGAGACCCAAGAATTCTATGAACACTCCATCAATGAATTGAATCCCGCATCCTGTAAGCAAGACGGTATATCCCTCAAACTTCTTGTAATCCCTCGTTTTACATTTCATGTCTAACGTATTGTATATGCTTTGAAAATGATGTAAAATTATTTCAATAAAATCAGTTTTAAAGTATTTACAAAATAATAAAGTTATTTTATATTATTTAAATTTCTTATACTTACTTTTCCATCGTAGAAACTATAAGATAGGAGAACATCAAACGACACTATCACTTAACCTTCAATAAGTTGGCTCTCAATTACATTTTCAAAATCTTTCTAATTTTCATGAGGCCGACGATATATGCTCATTCCATCAATATATGTCCCAGTCATATATGAACGAACATATTTTAGGAATGATGTCTGGTCTTTTTGTTCACCAATGTTTTTATTTCTGATTACAATAAAATGAATTAGATTTCAATGTTTTTTTTCTGTACAAAAAAATCTCCAAAAAAATTTGTAACTTTTGATGTAATATATAAATAATGGTGCTTTTTTATTTTGGAAAATGTAGTTATATATGATTTAGATTTGTTAAAGATGATTGAAAATCCATTGGATTGGTATTTTTCAATCACCCTACAAACATGATATATTTTAAGTTGGATATCATATGTTAAGTCGCAGTATTTTTTATATTCTCGTCAATAAGATTCGTTATTTCCTCTCTCAACTATACTGACTAATAAGAGTTCGATTGACTTACAAGATTTCATATTTCTTCCAAACCAACAATTTCTATCACGTGGAATAAAGAATTTCTTTATTCATACAAAAATAATTATTTTATAGAATTTTCTGGATTATATATTGACTAAAAAACTTTAGAGAAAAAATAGTTCTTGGTCAATTTTAGCAATGATTTTTCTAATCTCAAAAGTATAAAAAATATAGAGAAAAAAAAAAACTCCAAATCTGGACTCCCTTGCTATGCTTCTTGACGTTGGTATGGTATATTGTCATAAATTAATAGTTTTGTAACCTCAAATTTTAATAGCGTATCTACACACCTGTAATAACTAGTAATACAAGTGGATATAAAGACTTAGAAATGAAACCAAATAACAATAATCCAAAATACCAATTTGAAAATCTGTTTCACTTGGCCATATAGGCATATACAACAAATATGTCAAGTCACAACAACAAGTCAAGAGGGGTGACCTCTATTTCTTTGTCACACTCAAGAGTGACCACCTATAAACATTTCTTCATCGTGATTCATCATAGCTAACGTAAGCCAATAGGTCAGCATTCATATTTATTCATAATTATAGTGATATAAGTAGGGAGCAAAAAACTAATAATAATAAAGTTGTTGTTATCAACTCTTCCACTTGCTAAACAAAACCACCCGAATTTTCGACGAACATCCAAAGCGAGATTGTTGCGCAAGCAACTCGTGACTCATCATATTATTATTTTCTTAATATCTTTGCATAACTAGTTTTTATTTTTTTGGCAACTACAAATTTAAAACACCAACTAACGCCGCCTCTTTTTTTTTTGGAACTTGCTTCTATTCCATTTTTGATTTTCCACAAAGAAATTAACTAAATCATTGATATAATCAAAACTCAAAAGAATAGATCTATATATAGTTTGGGTAATTACGTTGCAATTATTCACTAGATTCTCGTCAATGGGCTTCGTTATTTCTTCGACTATGCTCATTTATAACATTTTCCAAGAGCATCGCCATTATTAATTTATAAGATTTTACATTAATATATCGTGAAAATCTGTAATGGTTAAAGTAATGATATACATAATTAATAAAATTATTTTTTCTTGAACGACAAGAAAAATCTATTTGTATAACGGAAAAATGATTTCTTAGAGATTGTTTTGTGAAGATTTTTTTTTTTGAACATCTGATTTTATATAATGCGAAGCAGGACTACAATTGGCGATACAAAAAGACGACCACTTCCAACCCACAAGTGATAGAAACCAAACCAAAGCCAAAAAGCTACACTAGGAACCTTCCACAAAGTGAAAGGACTTTACAAAAGAATTAGCTTTTCCAAAAAGCGAGACCTGCAAACACACAGCTTCAAACAAAAACAGAGGACAAGGGTCTCTCATCCTCAAAAACACCAAGAAGCCAGGATGGATATCCTGTGGCCACATAACTATGAAGCCTAAAATCGTTGATGACACTTTGAGAGATGAGAGAAGCTCCTCTATTCGCAGCCGCCGTTTCCACAACCATTTTCCATTCCAGACCACTCACCAAAAGCCTTTGAAGTTCTTGAGCCTGATACCTAAAGGAAGGCCAAGCTTTAGGCCTATTCACAATTCTAACCAAAGTCGTCTCTTGAAAGGCAAACAAAACCCGGTAAAATCTGTGGTCTTTCATACTTTCAATCCCCCACAGAAGTGACAAAAAGGCAGCCTCAAAAGCATCTTTGACATTAACAAAAGATCTTCTGCCATGTATCAGAACCAAACCCTCATTATCTCTTACCACCCAAGCTGCACCCGCCAACTTAGTAGTTTTTGACCAAGAAGAACCAACATTACATTTAAGCCAATCAGGGGCAGGAGGCTGCCACGCTTTCCTTTCCCCTCCACTACTCTGACTGGCCTGATTCACTTCAAAAATCTCTCCAACCAAAACTTCCTCCGGTTCCACAACTTGAGCCTCACACCATTCCATAAAATCATCTCTGCTTTTGAGCACCAACTCAGGGGCTGACAAAGACTTACCCTCAAAAGCCAAAGCATTTCTGTTAGTCCATAATCTCCAAAGTATCCAAGGAAAGATATTTCTAACCTCCTCTGGCCACGCTCTGTTTTTCCTGTTCACTAAAAGATGATGAAAATTTGAGAAAATCTCACCACCTTCAAAACCCTGCAAAGGAAAGGGATAATCAGAAATGGCCCAGACTTGTCTTGCAAAGGGACAAGAAAACAAGACATGCCCACAAGTCTCCTCTTCCAAACCACAGAGTTGGCAAAGTGGATCCCTCGTCATTCCTCTGCCAATGAAAGCCATTGCCACTGGTAAGCAGCCCGATAACACCTTCCACAAGAAAACCTGAAGCTTTGGATCCGTAGGGATCTCCCAAATCTGACATTTCAAATCGTTTGTTGATGGTAAAGCAGAGGCATTCAGAGTTACCTCATCAACAGAATCTTTGGAAGAGAGCCAATATGCTGACTTGACAGAGAAATCCCCAGATTTATTATACTTCCAAGTGTAAAAGTCATCTCTGGAAGTAACTGGTCTTATCTTCTTTATTCTTTCAATATCCTCCTCGAAGAAATGATCAACAAGAGCCTCAAAATCCCAGGTCCGAGAGATAGGGTCAATGAGAGAATTCACCTTTAGGTATACATCAAAGAAATAGTTTTTCCTCATAGGAGCTCTCATTCCTTCATCTTCATCCTCAATCCAAGGATCAATCCAGACTTTAACAGAAGATCCATTGCCAATGTGTTTTGATATCCCTTTTTCTAGCAACTCTCTCCCATGTAAAATACTCCTCCAAGCAAAGGAGGGTCTGCCATCCACAGGAGCATTCAGAAATTCCTTTGTAGGAAAATACCTGCTTTTCATCAGCTTAGCCAGGAGACAATCAGGTTCTTGTAGAATTTTCCAAGCTTGTTTGGCGAGTAGAGCTTGGTTGAATCTCTTGATATCTCTGAAACCAAGTCCTCCAAGATGTTTTGGAAGGCAAAGTTTCTCCCAACTAACCCAATGCACTTTCCTAGAATGCTCTTCAGCGCTCCACCAAAAATCTGCCATTGCAGCAGCCAAATTATTACAGGAAGTCTTTGGTAACTTAAAACAAGACATCGTAAAAACAGGCATAGCCAATGCAACCGACTTCAAAAAGACTTCTTTCCCACCCTGAGAAAGATGCCTAGCAAACCAACCAGACAGCTTTACCTTCAGCCTGTCTTTAATGTAATCAAGTAGAGCAATTTTTGAGCCACTGAAGCATTCTGGTAGGCCAAGATACGTACCAGCACCACCCTCTTTGAATATTCCCATTATGATCTGAATGTCAATTTTAACCACATGGTTTACCTTTGCTCCAAAGGTTATGGAGGATTTATTCAGGTTGATAGACTGACCCGTAGCATCACCATAGACTGAAAGAATCTGCTGCAAAACCCTGCTCTGGTCATTGTCTGCCTTACACATGAATAGGCTGTCATCAGCGAAGAGTTAATGGTGCACCGCAAGTCCCTCATCACTGAATTTAATACCTTCAATCTTTCCTTCCTGTTGAGCTTTATTCATCAAATGAGTCAGTCCCTCTGTGCATAGAACAAAAAGGAAAGGAGATAAAGGATCCCCTTGTCGTAAACCTCTCTGAGGAGTAATGAGACCAAAAGGCTGGTCATTTATCAACACCGAGTAAGTTACAGACGACACACAAATCATCACCCACTCAACCCAGCGCTGGTGAAAACCTAAGGCAGAGAGCAAAGCCCTTAAGAAGCTCCATTCTAGTCTGTCATAAGCTTTTGACATGTCAGATTTAATAGCCATGAACTCAGAAGAAATGGCAGGATGAGTTCTTAGGCCATGGATCACCTCATGAGCAACCAGAATATTATCTGTGATCAGTCTTTCAGAGACAAAAGCCGACTGATTCACATATACAATATTAGGTAATAAGGGTTGGAGTCTCTTAACCAAAACCTTGGATATGATCTTATAGAGAACTGAGCAGAGACTGATAGGCCTAAGGTCAACCATTTCTTCAGGATGGTGAGTTTTTGGAATCAGACAAAGGTGTGTAAAGTTCCATACAACAGGCATCACCCCAAACTCAAAGAAATTCTGGACTTCAGTCGTCACCTGAGTTCCAACAGTAGACCAATACCTTTGGAAAAAGAGTCCAGACATTCCATCAGGTCCCGGTGCACTAGCAGGTTTAATAGAAAAAACCGCCTCTTTTATCTCTTCAGCTGAAACCTTAGCAGTCAGCCCCAAATTCATTTCCTCGGAAACTTTAGGGAGAAAACCCTGAAACCAGTCACTAAAGCTAGCCGGATTTGAAGACTTGAAAAGATCCTGAAAATAAGTAGCTGCAACCTGCCCTTTTGCTGCTTCAGATCGCTGGAAGATGCCATTGTGATCTTTTAACTTGTCAATTCTCTTTCTTGATCTGTTATCATTCACAGAGGCATGGAAAAAACCAGAGTTTCTATTACCACATCTAAGCCACTTCTGCCTTGATTTTTGATGCCAATATTGCTCCTCTTCCCTATAAGCAACAGCAAGTTCTTTCTTTAAAACACGGATCTTTTGTAGACATGGCCAGACCTCTGATTGAGTCTTCTCAAGCTCAATTTCACACTTCTGAATCTTATCACGAGCATTCATATTGTTTTTTTTTTTTCCAGGAGCTCAAAGACTTTCTGCAAGCTTTTAATCTCTCAGAAATAGTGAAGCTAGAACAAGCAGCTCTAGAATTCCAGGACTTGAAAATAGCAATCTTTACCTCAGGCTTGAAGAGGAATCTCCTATCAAAGCGAAATTGACCTCTATAGAAATCCTGTGAAGAAATAAGACTTAGAAGCACTGGTCTATGGTCAGACCCTCTTTAAGTCCAAAAAAGATTGGTTGGAGGCAGGGAAATTGTTTTGTGATTGTTTTGTGAAATATTTTGTAATGGTCCAACAAACATGAACTATAAAATAAAAGGATTGATTATGATTCCCCATTCTACAATAATACTATATAAGATATCTACACTTGTCACGAGTGACTATTACTTTTTGATTTAATATTTCGTCACTATGATTCGGTTGGGGTCTATCTATCAATAATGTATTTGAATTAAAGAGTATAATTACCAAAACTTATGTACATCAGTGAATTAATGAATGAAAAATTGAAGAACATAATTTGATGATCTTAAAAATTAAGGGTTCTTACAAGAACGATTTTCCCATAAAATTCTGGAGTATATATATGTACAAAAATTACCATCATAATATCTCCAGAAAACTCTACAAAAAATAAAATCTAATATTCCAACTTTAAGATTCCAGATTCTGTTACAAAAGGAATCGAATCAGAGATCTTCCCGGAGAAAAGGATGAGCAAGAAGCTGCGACGCCGTCCATCGCTTACTCGAATCTTTACGTAGACAACACTCAACGAAGCTCCTAAACTCTTCAGAACATCCCTCCGGCGCTCGCGGCGGTTCTCCAAAACACACCGCGCACATTAGCGTGGCCCAATCAGGTCTCTGTCCCGGCGGAAGTAACGGAAAATGACCAACGAGTAGCTCAAGCATCATCAATCCAAAACTCCAGATATCTCCGGCGTAGATATCGGAACTTCCACCGGAAGATTCTGAATCAAACCTCTCCGGACTCATATAAGCACAAGTACCAACATACGAATTACACGAATCTAATGATCGTACTAAGATCTTACTAACTCCAAAATCAGCGATTTTAACTTCGTTTCTCGAATTGAGAAGCAGATTCGCCGGTTTGATATCACGATGAACGATCTTAAGAGCGTGTAAATAGCTTAATCCTTTTAAGATCTGCTTAGCGAATCCGGCGAGTTTTTGCTCCGTTACGCCGCCGCGTAGTGATTCTAGGGTTCCTCCGTCCATATACTCCATTAGAATCGATACTTCACCGACGACAGGTTTCTCGAAGATTCCGTGACATTTAACGACGTACGGTGAATCTGTACGGCGGAGAATCTCCATCTCTCGCATCAATTGCCTTGTGAAAATCGGATCCATGTCGCCGTTAACTGTTTTCAAAGCGTAGATCTCCGATGTGGTTTTATGACTGACTTTATAAACAATCCCGCCGTTACCGCATCCGAGAACGTTGAGTTTCTCGAGATCACCGGCGGAGATTCCATTACAGCCGGAGGTAGCAGCGACGGTGGTGGTGGTGACGGAGGAGGAGACGGAGAAGCGGCGGTCGGAAATCGGAGGAAGAGGAAGACGGAGATTTAGCTGACGACGTTCACGAACTAAAGCCATGGAAAGAGAGAAGAAGAGTGATGATGAAAATGAAAGAAGAAATAGAGAGAAGCTTCAGATTTTATATGAGTTTCAAGTCTTTTACAGTGTGAGGAGACAACGAGGAAGGTGAAGATGAACTACTAAATATCCTCTCTTTTTTTTTCCTTATTTCATTTTGTTCTTATCTTAAAATGGATTTGTTTCCTTTTTTCCTCACTATATAATATCGTTAAAAATGCAACGTGTGTGAGTGTTTGTTTGATTACGCACGTGGTTAATTGCATCAGACTGTAAATTTGTTCACGTTGGAAAATGACTAATCATTTTTTGGAAAAAGTAGTACTATATATATGGCTATATGCTAAAAATTAAAAAACGATAAGGTATCTAAAAGTTATTGGAATTGAAAGATTTGGGCGGCTTTCGTATTAAAACTATAGTGTAAGAAAATAACGGTAACTAACTAATCTAGTAGCAGCACTAATAAATGACCGACTATTAATAAATGATAGTATTACTACTTTAGAAATGAAAAGTGTGAAGGTTCGATGAACCAAGAACAGGCTAAAGGACGAAGAAGTTAATGACTAATAAGGTGATGAGAAGGACCAAAGAAAGAGGATTAAACATTTTGTTAGGCCAACGTGGAAAAGCTTCTAACAGCCATCTGTTTGATTTCTGAGTTTGAGGCCGCCATCGTATTCAAATGTTTGGCAACTTTTGTAATCTTTTATTATATTTGATACTATGTTGCAAGATTCAGATAAGATCTTTGTATTGAGGACACATAAGTTTATGTTTATTTAGCTTTAGCCTTTATGCATGTGTCATGTGTTTATTTATGCACATATTTTATATACACAAGCTCCACAAAATTTTGAAATCAGAATCTAAACCACACATATAATTTTGATTTTTTGAAAATATAAATTAGAGAAAGTTTTAATTACAATCTTTGGTTAGCCAAAGTTTTGAAACTCAAAATATATTTGTTTGATATATACCCTTATGTTAAAAATTGGATAATATTAAAATTGGATTTAAACATTGTGTGATTCAAACAAAGTTTAATTTTGTGGTTGTTAAAGAGTATGAATATTTAGTTGATGTTTTTTCTTGCCATATACATGTAGCATTTTAGCATGTGTCATATTGAGCACATGCTTATTGATGTTTAATTACAAAATTGGTTGTATTTTATTTAAAATTTACTATTAATCAGATATTTGTTCCACGCATGTCGACACAGACAATGGAGCTTTCCTGGCACCAGGAAGTTGCCTCTCAATCTCAGGAATCGTTTGTCCCATTTTGGTCAGTTTTACAACACATACTGTGGAGCCGTTGTGAAGACAATGAATGGCTGAGCTTGTAAAAGGCTTTATGCCAGATTAATATCTAGGCTTTTTCTTCATTATTGGGCTTCGGAGTTTGTTGAATTGATGACTGGCCCATCACTCATTTGCTTTGTCCTTCGTTGTTGTGCTCTGTTTTCTGAGTGGGTCTTTGTTTCCACTTACAAAGAGAGTGGGTCTGAATTTCGATTTGTTTGGTGCAACTTAAATTTCTTTGGATTTTTTTTTTAAGAAATTGACCATTATTAGAGTGGGCTTTGATGGAAATATATATATTAGAGTGGGCTTTTATAAAATCTTGATTTACTGTAGTTCGGTGAATTTCGTTTTTTCGTTAATAATCATGACATGGAGAATTGGAGATTATTCCAGTGTTACAATTGAGATTTAAGGAGTTTTAGATGAAAAATTTATGAACGAAGACAAATATTACAACTGATTGAGGTATATATTTTTTTTCGTGAATAGAGAGTTATATTTAGTTATGTACTTATGGAATATCCTTGTTTCATGAGTTTTAAATAACTAATGGTAATTTAGAATTGATCGCCAGTTTTCAACTTAAAATTCTCTCATGTACGAGATGGATATATATGGCTAACAATATCACTCTGGTAGTTTATGTTTGCTTTAAATAAAACTATAAAAGAATTGACCGAAGAAAAATTGTTTTTTGTCAAGAATTTCGATTTAGGCAGAATGAAAAAGCAGCATCCAAATTCCAAACAAACAAAACATAAACACGAGAACTGTAAAAAACACAGACTAAAAGAAGCAATTAAACTAAAGAGAGACCAAGGTCCTCAATATAGCCATTAAGCCATGGATCCGACCTAATCTCCCATGTAGGATGTAACGCTTCCCATGGGACACTCTTGAGATCTTCCACCGAAACCCCTAAATCCTCAAGGGTCACGTGTTCATAACCCCTATTCCTAGTCCTACTCTCACCGACACTCTCGTCGTTCTCCTTCTTATTCGATAGAGACCTCTCATCGTCGTTCTTCTTCGTCTCGTGAGGATCAGTAGAAGAAAAACATGAATCTGCTCTTGATGCAACATCGTTGTCTTCCTTTGCCTCCGGTGACCCCTTGACCACGCAACTTAATTCGTCGAAGGGTTCGACGTTGTCCCACCAAGACCCTAATCTCGGCTTCTTCCTCTTCGGCTCTAGGGTTACCTCCTCATCGTCATCGATGATGATGATTCCATCAGTAGATGATAGTGATCCCAAGGAATTGAATGTTGGAGAATTGAGGAAGCAGAGTTTGTCGTAGTCCGTCTTATTGTGACGTCGCTTGGAGAACAAGTTGAGTCCGATCTGGGACTCGTTAATATCTTGTTTCTCTATCGCCATGTTTCGTTTCGTATCAATTATTGAAGAACCAAATATGAATTTAAGAAGAGATTTTTGGAGAGAGAGACACAAAATCGAATTGAGAGTTGAGAGACTATGAAGCTGCTTAACTCTTAATCTGGCTTTTGAAAATTTAAGCGGCTGCGATCTTTAGTTTATATAGAGACTAGAGTGATACGTCTCGTAAAAGGAAAACAAAACCTAAAAAAAAAAAATGGAAATTGGTCTCTCAGATAAGGAAAAAAGGAAACTACTTTTATATAATCTGATCAAAGATATAGCAGTTGCTTCAGCTTGTGTAAATAGATAAATACGTGTACTTTTTTAATAATTCTTGAGACTAAACTATAGCCTAAATTTATTTATCAAAAAAACATAAAAGAAAAGAACTATAGCCTAAATTATTGAATCTTGCATAACTATATTAACACTAAATTTGTAGATCCAAAAAGGAATAGGTAAAGACTAATTTTGATTTGATTTTTTTTGTATCACAAACTATGATCCATCATTCATTGATTTTACCTCTTTTTTTGAAAGCTATATTATGCATTTTTCACATGAGTTATGTTATTTGAAATAATGTTACTTTAGTTTTTATACTATTTCCCTTAGGTAAACTTGGTAAGAATTGACCAGTGACTCCATTGTATAATCTAAAAACTAGATGAAGATTTTACAATTCATTACACAGTATAATAAGACAAAATCAAAACAGCTACCACGTCCGAAAGGTGCGAGGTTTGGATTGAGGTTTGGGGAAGTCTGGTCTGGGTTTAGCTCTGGAGATATCTGATCTGGTTTTAGCTTCCTCCACAAATATAACCCTTCCATCCAAAAACTGTATAAACACCAAATCAGAAGTTTGCTATAGTGTTCTCAATCAGATAAACGATATAAGAATGAAGACAAGAGTGTAATGTTGAGCTGAGTACCTTTCCATGCATCCCTTGAATAGCTTTCATAGCCTCCTCCTCTGTTTCATACCGTAGGAAAGCAAAACCTCTTGGTCTATTAGCTACTTTATCCATCACTAAGTTCACTACACGGGGACGCAATCAAGAACATGAGTTACAGTTGTAAAATTTTGACAAAAGTGAACAAAGGAGAGGTTTATGCTTACTGTGTATAAGCTTGCCAAACTGTTCAAAAGTATCCCGTAAGGTATCTTCCGTTGTGCGAAAAGAAAGCCCTGTGAAAAACCACCAAAATCAAGTCGATATCAATCAAACCCTTAATCCACACCATCAAAACCAAGTCAATACCAATCAAACCCTTAGCCATTTTATTAGAATCAAGTCTCATATGGTCAAAGCAGAGACGAAGAGGTATCAAAAAGGTTGCAGAAAGCTGAAAAGTAAAACAAAACAAAAAAACCATAGAAGAGCATTAACACTGCTTTCTCTTTTGGCCATGTCTAAGGAGCGTCTAATTCACCACAATTCAACTTGCACCAATCCCTTTACATAGAAAACAAGCTTATAGACAGTATACACCAGCAGAAAGATATCTATCTCCTCAGTTCATCAGAAGTCACACCCACCATACACCAACCAAAATCATTCCCTGCCTTTACAACAAATCCGACAATGTCTTCGTTACCATTACAACGATGTAACAATACCCAATAATATCCAGTCCATGCTATTCCTGAAAGTAACCAAACAGAGACATTCCTCACCGAGAGAATCTCTCCAAAACAACTAGTGAGGCTATTCCACAAGGCTCTATAACCCCACAAACAAATATATCATTCCATTCTCTCTAACAATAAAATCTATATAACGGAAGTTTTAACATCTAACATTGTTAACTACATAATTGGTGAACACAAAATGTGACTGCTCCGAATATTTTGGAGATATCCTAAGCTTATAGTAACTATCAATGTATCCACTGTAAAAAAACTACCTCTAATGGTATATTACTCGAAGAAACAGTGAAGAATCACATCGCATAACCAAAAATATCCACTACATAAGCATCATTCACGAATTGGGATATGCAAGATGAAGAATTGGAAACATAAACATATAACAAAACTGAAACAAGGAAGGGAACAAACTTACCACTGACATAGAGTTTCGTCTTCGTCCCGGAGGGAGAAGACGGTGGAGAAGAAGACGAATCCGGTGAGAGACAGCTAGTTATTAAAAACCCGCCAATACCACGGCGTCGCCGAGCAAAAATGACGCCGGTTCCGACATTGATTCGTCCGCAAGAGACGCTGCAGATGGCCGAGAAGTTTGGTCCGAAGAGCCGATCTCCAGGAATCGTACACGACGGAACGACGACTCTCCCTAAGCTAATTGCCATTGTTTCCGTCGTCTTCTTCTTCCCCAACTTCCGGACCCTATCCCCTAAACTTTGAGGGTATACTTGGTATTTTCATATTTATTTACTTCGTTTGTTATTTTTATTTTTGCAACTGTTGAAAATTTGGACTATGAACATGAAATGAAACCCATCAAACTGAATTTGACATTTGTGTTTTTCTTTTAGGTTTTGTTATAACTTATAAATTTACTTCGTTTTTCTCTGTCTCGTCTATAATTATCCATCCTTGCCTAATAATCTCCATTCTTTTCAAAGATAACAACAACAAATAGAAAATCTTTAAGAAATCACACAAAACTGAGAGAGACAATTTGATTTAACATCTAGAAGATTGATCCATTTTATATATGTACACATTACATGTCGTGAAGACAAACATTCAGAACAATCAGTGATTTTAAATTAGTCTACCTACTATCATTAGCAAATGAATGAATTAAATCACAAGACTAAACTTAACCTCTGTTTCTTCCCAAAGATTCCACATTATCCTCCTTAGTTGGTCTGACATTTCCGGTTAATAAAAGCTTCCAAAGCTTCTCTCATCCACGAATTCTGACACAACTCAATCGCTTCAGACAAAGAAACCCATTTACGTTGTCTAATGTCAGCTTCAGGCCATCGCTCAAACTGTTGACTAACAAGCAAAGGAAACATGTAACCATCATGAATCATACTATGTCTTTTGCTTTTGTATTGCCATTTCCCAAGTGATTCTTCAAGCTGACCCGTAACACCAGCTTCTTCAATCGTCTCTCTTAAAGCAGCTTCTTCAATTGATTCATCAATCTCCCAACCTCCTTTAGGTAGTAACATTCCTTTCCCTTTCTTCTGTGCACTTATCAAAAGCACTTCAATTTCTCCTCCACCATGTTTCTTGTATCTATACGGTACACATCTGCAATAATTTTTGAATCTATAATCAGATTCCAAGATATCAAAATTCCCCCAAATTCGTAAACCTAGAATTTTAAAATTAGGGTTTGGCTAAATTGAACGTACCCGACGACTTGACGATACCCTGCAGTGTTGTAACGTTGCAGATCTCGTCCGGTACGAGAGACTAAAGAGACATCTTTCTCAATCGGTGTCGGTACGATTTTCTTCGACGGGATGTTATCAAATGTCGGAGATAAGTGAGAAGCGACGTTTGAGATGAATAGAGAAACATAGAATTCAGTCATTTTTTGGTCTTTTTCTTTCTCCGCCGCAATTTCAGATCGGAAGCAAGAAATGATTTGATGAAATCTGAGAGAGGAGGATTTGGATAAAACGAGGAAGATGAGAAGATGTGAGTTGTGAAGAAGATTGGGTTTGTGAGCGTCTTTATATGGAAAATCTCACGCGCTTCTTCGTTCAACTATTTTAAAATTATTTTATTTTTTTGGTCAATTAGTTCGGTTAAGAAACCGAGATTCCGGTTTTTTGTTTCGGTTATTGAATTGACTAGTTCGGTTTTTTCGGTTAATTATAACCTTCTGACTTCGGTCTTTAGAAGTTAGAACGAGGTTTAGTACTAATCTCAATTCTCAAATAGTACTTATTCTTTATCTTCTAGATCAATTTTTAGCCAATAAAAATCAAACTTTTGATGTCAACAAACCCAAGTCCAAGTTCCAAAGAACGCGGGATAAGAAGAAGAGAGTGAAAGGCAGACGCGCTAGGCGCGTGGAGAAGCAAGCAAGTGGGTGACTCGTTTGCTTATCTGTTTCTATTACACACAACATGAACACGTGTTCATGCCAACACGGTATTTACGGATTATTTTTAGCAAATGACTTTTAAACGGAATTTGTGAAACTAATTTTTAGACATATTTCTGCTTTTACCAAACAGAGTTTTTAACAATGACTTTACAAGAAAATTAGAGAATCTAATATTTAGACAGATTTTTACCTTTTTTTGCTCATGCCAAAAAGAGGTTCATGTTTCTCACCATCATTAGGAGCTAAAATATCACAAATTTACTTAGCAGAAGATAAAGATTTTCGTCTAGTCTAAAATTGTTACAGATCTATCGGAAACAAATTAAATCTTAAAATTGTTAATAGTTTTTTTTTTCATTTTCTTATAATTAGAGGTCTCAAATTGAAACCCAAACTAATTACCGGAGTCTTTGTCGGGTCAAGTATTTTTGTCATTTAATACATTTGTAATAGTCTAACCATCATTGTTAACCACACAGCCACAATAGAAAAATCTTAGAACCTATCAAATCTTTGAATTATTGTGAAATTGTTGTGCTTCTCATTTTCTTAGGTCTTTCTAAGTTGATTGGTGCTTAGTAAATTTAGCAGACGATAACACCGGAAAAATAATTAGGTAATTAAAAAAAAAAAAGTTACATAAAACATATTTCTGAGAATTACAAAGAAAAATCAAAAGAAGATCATCCCGAGAAAAGCATATACAAAGCTAAATCCCAAAAAACTGATGGATAGAGCTGCATTTTTCTTGGTGCTGCCAGAATTCCCTGTTTCAATAAGAAGGTCACAACAAAATATAACAATATTCATTATTGTATTATACTCCACAAATCAATTATTAAAGAAATGTTAAATTGAATAGCAAATCAGAAAAATTAATTTTGATATCAGAGGAAGTAAATGCATACCGCTGGTCGCAGCTTCAGGCAACGCAGCAGGCGAAGAAGCTTCGTTAAAAAAACAAACATAAATATCAGAATGCGTATATAATCTACGCAATTAATACAATAAGAACATATTCAGATTACAAAAGCTAGTTAGAGATGAAAAAAGAACTCACGATTAATCTTGTTGCACTGTGACAAATCATGATTAATACCACATGAGTTAAGGAGATTAAGAGCGTTCTCTTTGGTGAGAGCAAGGAACCTAAGCAAGTCTGGATGTTTGAAGGCGGTGCATAGACACGACACATCTTGCTCAGCGATCTGTTTCATCGGATTGCAACACCACGGCGGCGGAGGAATCGACAAGTGAATGTACGGTTGACATGGCAACAGTTTTGATACACATCGCATTGCCTGTTGAACATCTCCGAATAATTGTGCTGTAACTTGCACGGAGTAGAGAATGACGACGATGGTGACTACACCGAAAATTCTTGTGATATTCATTTTTTTTTGTTATGCAGTATTTGTTTTGCTGAGTATATATTATCTTATATATATAAAGAAAATATTGGTGGGTTTTCTTTTACCCTAACTAGGAAATATTGGTGGGTACAACTGTTGGGCCGGGGCTGGTCAAACATGCATGTAAAGTTTTGTTTCTTAGTATAGTAGTTACCGGATTTGTTATTATACAATTGAATTTGTTGATAAGACTAAGACTACAAAATCCAAAATGTCTGAATTTGGATTCTGCAAATTGACTAAATATTAATTACCAGTATTATGCATGTGACAACTGACAAGTATACCATTTCCTTATAATCTTGTTAGTCTTTTATTGGATAAAAAAAAATGCCAGGTAATCTAATGCTGGGAAAGTGATAATGTACCAGCATTAATTAGTATATAAAAATATGTGAATTAAAATATTACTAATTGGTAAAATATTATTTTTGCCTTTTTTTAATGAAATCCACTTAAATTAGGGTCCAAAATATATTTTTCTAAAAAATATGAGAGAAAGGACCCATTTTTTTCCAGCTTAGATGGACTTCAAATTTATTGAGCCGATCCTGACTTTGAATCTTATACTTTTTCTTATGTAGGTATCATTTTGATAAATATGTATCAATTTACTTATTGTTGAATTCGTTTTGAGTTGAGGTTTGGTACGAAATAAAAGAGTAATGATCATCATTTTTTTGAAAATAAACAGTGAACTCTCATAAGATGGTGATGACTGATGACACTGACAAAAGTCACAAAAGGAGGAAGCATAGATTTAGATTTAATGATAGAACAACTACGACATATTCAAAAACTCGAATCTGAAATCAAATTTAGTTTTTATTTGTTTGCTTGTCTTTTTATACGACTATTTCATCTCTTTTCTTTAAAATTATTTTAGTTTTTTTTTTAATAGTTTGAATTACATAAAATGAGATACAGCATGCTAGTTGATTCTTCTTTGTCAGCTTTTTCATTTTTGTTGTGTATGTTTTTGGCTATTGTCGGTGCAGTTGCATGTTTGTATATACAGTATATGTTTACTAGCTTTACTCTGATTATGATTCTAAAACATAAACACCACCAAGCGAATGTCGTCTTATACCCCCATTGGTTTATGTTGGCGTGGTAGACACTTTAGAACTACTGTATCGTCTTTCTCATATGAATGGTGGTGATTTTGGGGTTGGCCAAAACTTATGTGCTTTAAAAAAATCTTTTCATATCAAGACTAAGGAGGATTGTATATAAAAGATTAAAACAAAAGTACTTAAACACACACTGATGACAGAAAACACATACATGTAATTATAAATAAAATAAATGACATAATCAAAAGAAGATCATTGCCACAAAAGCAGACAGAAAGCTAAATCGATTGAAGCTGATAGTTGAAGCGGAAGAGGTTCCTGTTCATTAAGAAGGCCATGTCAATTAGTTTGATAAAATATTAGTATTAGCGTTTGTATATTTTATAGTTTTTTCGACAAAATGTAACAAGAAATTTGAAAATAAATACGAATCAGTGCATACCATTGGTTGATCCCGGCGACGCAGTAGGCGAAGGAGCTTTATTTACAAGAGAAAAACATTAAAATAACGTCGTTTAATTTATACTTATCAAAGATGTTTAATTAAGTTATATATTTATGGGATCTTATTAATAGAAGAATAATCACTCACAGGCGATCTTGGAGCAGACTGAAACGTCAGGATTAACTCCACATGCCTTGGGAAGCACGAGAGCGTTCTCTTTGGTGAGGTTTAGGGCTTTGAGCATCTCCGGGTTGTTAAAAACGGCGCATAAACACGGCGCGTCTTTCTCTACGATCTCTTTCATTGGCCCGCAACACGATGGCGGAGGAGACGGATTCACCGTGTGTATGTACGGCTGACACGGCACCAATTTTTGCACGCAAGCCATCGTCTGAGGGTTTCCTCCTTGTGCTGTAGCCTGCACGGAGTAGAGAACTACAACGGCTACGACTACGGCCAGAAATTTGCTAATCTCCATTATTATTTTTTTGTTATTTGTCTTTCTTTGTTTACAATGTTTTGTAAATAGGGAAGATGAGGCATATAAATAACTTTTTTCCGTTAATTATGAAGGTGAGATTTGCTTATGAATTTCATGGATTGTTTTGTCTGATTTGTTTTGATACTATGTGCATACATGTATGATTCAAAACTAAATTTGGAGAAAATCTAAATTTACATTTAATTCTATGCAAATTTTGTAAAAAAATATCCAAAAAATCTCACTAGATGTTGATGAAAATTTGAAAATAAGGATTACTCCAAGAGAACCCATTTCAAACCTTAGCATGTGCAACACTTGTAACAAATATTAACAACATAACGATAAGGTTAGTGGCTAATTACATGATTACGTGGCGGATGATTATTGGATGAGTGATAATATGCAACGTGGCAATATAAGGGAGTGTGTTAAAATTACGTCATTACCCTCATCCATTGTTACCTCTTCTTCTTCCCTGTTTCTCTCAACACTGAGAAACAACGACGAAGAAATTGGAGAAAATATAGAATGAGAATCTCAGGTCACAGTATCATAGCCATCTCTTTCTTCATACTCTCAGTCTACATTCATCGCGTTCAAGCCCGTCCCTTCGTTCTCGTTCTCTCCAACGACGATTTCAACGGCGGCTTTGATGATAACGGTGCCGAAGAATCCTCTAATTTCGATGAATTCGGAGAATCCGAACCCAAATCCGAAGAGGAGCTTGATCCCGGTTCCTGGCGACCAATCTTCGAGCCAAATGATTCCGCCGTCCACGCCTCTGCGTCGCCGCAGTACTACTCCGGACTCCACAAAATCCTCTCGGCGGCGATTGAAGGAAACAGTACATTGATGGAGGAAGCGGTTTCAGAGATAGATTCGTGTGCCTCTTCGGGAGATCCACACGCACAATCAGTGATGGGATTCGTATACGGGATTGGGATGATGCGTGAGACGAGCCGAAGCAAATCGATTTTACATCATCATTTCGCTGCTGAGGGAGGAAATATGCAATCGAAAATGGCACTTGCTTTCAGATATCTAAGACAAAATGTAAGCAACACCGAACATTTCAGTTTGAACTTATCGAATTTGCAGTTTTAAAATGTTCTTGTGATCGTTTCACAGATGCATGATAAAGCTGTTGAGTTATATGCTGAACTAGCAGAGACAGCAGTGAATAGCTTTCTGATTTCAAAGGATTCTCCAATGGTTGAGCCAGTTAGAATCCACATTGGAACAGAGGAGAATAAAGATGCACTTAGGAAATCCCGTGGAAAGGAAGATGAGGATTTTCAGATATTGGAATACCAGGCAGAGAAAGGGAATTCTGCGGCAATGCACAAAATTGGACTGTTTTATTACTTTGGTTTGAGAGGGCTAAGGCGTGATCATGCCAAGGCGTTGTACTGGTTTTCGAAGGCGGTAGAGAAAGGAGAGCCGATGTCAATGGAACTTCTTGGGGAGATTTATGCTAGAGGAGCTGGTGTTGAGAGAAATTATGACAAGGCACTTGAATGTCTTACACTTGCGGTAAAACATGGTCTCCATTCGGCATTTAATGGCTTGGGTTACTTGTATGTCAAAGGCTATGGAGTAGATACGAGAAACTACACTAAGGTAACTTTTCCTTCATGCTTACCAGGCTTGCTTCTTTATCTGACTAGAAATTTAGTTTAACTTAGACAATATGATAATGGAACTGAGAAAAGGGATAGATTTTTGGATGTATGTAAAACATTTTAAATTATTCGTAACAATTAAGTACCAAACTTAATCACCTATCGTGTCTGTGTTATCAAGTGTTGCTGACATCACATCTTTAGCGGTGATCAGGACATATAAAGAGTCGCTTAGTGGCACTCTGCAAGCATCATAGATGCAGTTTTTGTTTTAGTTTTTTCTTCAACATATTATGACCTGAAGATATCCCGTTGATATTTCCCTTCAAGTGCAGGCGAAAGAATACTTTGAGATGGCTGCTAATAGTGAAGATCCTAGCGGGCATTATAACCTTGGAGTGTTGTATCTTAAAGGCATTGGAGTCAAGAAGGATGTGAGGCGTGCAACCAAATATTTCTTTGTTGCTGCCAATGCTGGTCAACCAAAGGCTTTTTATCAACTCGCCAAGATGTTCCATACGGGCGTTGGGCTTACAAAGAACTTGGAAATGGTAAATTGGTAACTATCTTCCTTACCATGAATGTCAAATACAAATAGTTTTAATATTTATGCAGTTCAATTAAAATGACACTCCAACTTTTATTAACTTTAACTTCAGAATATTAATTGACTGGAGCTCATTGGCAATAATTTACGATTCTTGCATATTCTTACAAGAATTTTCGTTATACAATTTGAGGATGGGGTGGTGTAATTTGCTAAAACGTAACCAATTATAGGAATCTCTGTTAAGTTTTCACTGTGTCAAGCTTTTACAGTTTTATTTTTATTTCCATCCATTTAAGGTGTGTTTGTAGTTTGCTCTGAGCATTCTGAATACATCATTGTGGGATTTTGTACTTCAAATTCCTTGTTCACGTTCCTAGCATTTTGGTTGTAGGCGACGACTTTTTATAAACTAGTAGCAGAAAGAGGACCATGGAGTTCTCTCTCTAGATGGGCTCTTGAAGCCTACTCGAAAGGTGATGTGGGAAAGGCTTTTATATTGTATTCGAGAATGTCAGAGCTCGGTTTTGAAGTAGCACAAAGTAATGCTGCCTGGATCCTCGATAAATATGGGGAAAGAAGCATGTGCATGGGAGTGTCTGGGTTTTGCACAGATAAGGAGAGGCACGATCGGGCTCATTCTTTGTGGTGGCGTGCCTCTGAACAGGGAAACGAACATGCTGCATTGCTTATTGGAGATGCATACTACTACGGTCGGGTAAGTCTACTCACGCTTAAAGTTTAAGAATTGCTCTATTTTATCATGAAAACTGTCAACATGCGGACAATGCATTTAATAATCACTTATCTCATCCCATTCATACCCATATGATTTTTCCAGAAGAACATATTTCTCATTCATGAAATCTAGACTTTAACTGATTCAATGAGGCTCTTACTCATGTTCACAGGGTACAGAGAGGGATTTCGTGCGTGCAGCAGAGGCGTACATGTATGCTAAATCTCAATCAAATGCGCAAGCAATGTTCAACCTCGGTTATATGCATGAGCATGGAGAAGGTCTTCCTTTCGATCTCCATCTTGCTAAACGTTACTATGATCAGGCCCTCCAGAGCGATGCTGCTGCCAAATTGCCTGTCACACTAGCTCTTGCGAGTGTATGGGTTCGCAGAAACTATGCTGATACTGCCCTGGTAAGAGAGAGGGAAGGAGAGTCAGAGTGATGATTTATCGCTTACCGGAATTGTTTGAGTGAAAATGAATGACCAAGGTCACGTTTTATGGATGCAGGTGCAAGTACTGGATTCCGTACCAGAAGTGTATCGAAAGGTGGAGGAATGGGTAGAGAATGTGGTGTTGGAAGAAGGTAATGCGACCATACTAACTCTCTTCCTCTGTCTTATGACCGTCTTATATCTCCGGGGGAGACAACGTAGACAAGTGGTTTTGGATCCCGTTGGTGCAGACGTGGCACAGCCCCTCGCTGGACCTGTAGCCTTTCCCCAGTAATGGCTGAAGCAGGTGAAACAAAAGGGTACACAATCACACCAGAGAAACCAGAAGTTTTCTGTACAGGTTCCAACTTAGTTCCATACTCATCACACACTGAACTATTTAGTTTAAAGCATAGGCTATATCGGGACTGCATTGTAGGTTTCTCTGTAGAGCATTTCGAAAATTTTATTAACCCTTATGAAGTTTTGAGAGCAGAATAATTTGGTAACGTACATATGTTATGACATTTTGGAGTGGAGTTATAAGAAAACCTCGAGAAATTTTTCAGGTCTGTTTTAAAAAAGCCGGTATTTTATAAGATTACACAAATTCTCTCAATTAACTTATGGATTTAATTAGTTCGGTGAAACATATGTGTAATCCCTATAATATTATTTTACCCGAATGAAAGTTGATTCAAAATTTTATATTTTCTACGCGTACGTAATTTTCAAAGATGTGTTAAATAACATTAACCTGGCAACAATGGTCAAAGCCGTAGCTAGTTTTGATGTCAAAGAATACGTCGCTTGCAGAAAATGGCAAGTGTTTATGACTTGCATGTTTGTTTTTTGTTTATTACACTGTCCACGAAGATGAACAATCGTTGAAATTGCAATTTATATATTTGTTCATCATGTTATATAATATATATATATATATGATTCCCATAAGGCCACAAACTTGTCTTTTAAGCGGTCCTCACGTTCAACTAAACAAAATAATAATGAAAAATATATATATATATATATATTTAACAATCCAATCACCCCCTTATAATAATCATCATCAACATTATTCGAGTAGTAGCCACAATTCACTTCCATCCATACAGTATTGTGATTCGTTTGTTTGGGTCAATATAATCGCCATCTCGTCTCGTCGGAGAAGAATGTCCCTGTTGGATAATCTGTTAGGTATCCTCCGCGTTCGCGTCAAACGTGGTGTCAACCTCGCCGTACGTGATGTTTCTAGCAGCGATCCTTACGTCGTCCTCAAGCTAGGTCGCCAGGTTCTCTCTCTCTCTCTCTCACTTTCTCTCGATTTCCACAAACTTCAACGATTGTTTCATAGACTCAGAATTCAAATTTATTTTGCAGAAACTCAAAACCAAAGTGGTGAAGAAAAACGTAAACCCACAATGGGAAGAAGATTTGTCATTCACAGTCACTGACCCGAATCTCCCGCTTACTCTGGTAAATTTCAAATTGAATTACTACTTTCTAAACCGGACCGGTCCACAAATTAACACATCGTCTTGGTTTAAATCAAAAAACAGATTGTGTACGATCACGACTTCTTCAGCAAAGATGACAAAATGGGAGACGCAGAGATCGATTTGAAACCGTACATTGAAGCCTTGCGAATGGAGCTCTCCGGTTTACCAGACGGAACCATCATATCGACGATCGGTCCGAGCCGCGGCAACTGCTTAGCCGAAGAAAGCTACATCCGTTGGATCAACGATCGAATCGTTCAGAACATTTGTCTCCGACTCCGTAACGTCGAGCGTGGTGAAGTCGAGATTGAGCTCCAATGGATTGATCTTCCCGGTTCTAAAGGCTTGTAAACAATTTTTGAAAGTTACCTTATTGGGCTTTTTACCCCTTTAGTGGGCTAAGCCCATATGACATTCACAAATAAACATTAATTAAAAAAAATTAACGTATGATATTTAATTATATATTTGTGTGTGAAACCATTGGGTTTGGGTCTGCCCAAGACGGCACGAATTTTAGTGATTGATGTTTAGTTTAAAGGAATCGTGAGGACAAAGATATTTTACTTTCGTATATTCTCTCTTTTTATTTTATATTTTCTTTTGGTTTTTCCTTTTAACGAAGTGAAGAAAAAAAAAGAGATGAAAAAGATAACTTTATTGCAGCAATAGCAGCTTTTGAGGAACACAAATTTGTTTTTTGAAACTAAGTAAGAAAAAAGTTGGTAATTTTTCAGATCCTTTAAAATATTCTCTGTTCTATTTCTATATATTCTTTTATAGGTTCAGCCTTTTAGAGAACCCAAAACTGTGCAAAAGAAGATTATAAATTTTTATAAAAAAATAATTAGCGAAAGCATCTATATACATATGCTTTTTTCCATTGATTCGTAGCCGTAGATCGGTATTTGGTCTGATGTTTTCTTTTGGTCGGGGGAAACTTTCGAAATTATAAAATAGACCCTCTATTTTTGATGCATTTCTTAAACATCCCCTATGTTTTATAAACTTCAATTTACCCATTCAATTTACCCATTCAATTTACCCATTTAAACGACGAAAGTTAAATCATAAAAAAGATTTGAGTCCTGGAGCTTGATGAAGCTGACAAGTGCCACGCCTCTACTTTGTTTTCCAATATTACCCTTATCCCATCATTAACTTCTTCTACGCATGCCCCTCCTCATTCTCACTCTCTTTATAACTATTTGTTGATTATTTCACTTCAACATCGTATTAAAAAGAAGGGGATAAGACCAATAAAATAGAGTTACCAATTCAGAAAAACAAGAAAATACTAACCATTAAGCTGAGTCGGATGATACGTGAATAGCCTAGTTTTGCGGATATTCTCCAAATCAAATTATACTTCAAGTTTTATGTCGTCTATTTGTGTGTGTGTGTCTGTTTATCATCTATTTGTATTTGTTCAAAATGCTAAAAACATTTCATATCAAACATGAATCTGCATTAGTCATCATCGGTTCATTAGTGGGGTTATTTGATTTGATTACAATTACAAGGCATGCTTTAGGCGAAGCGTGTTAAAGCACAAACGCATGGACCGTGAAACTACTTTCTTTTTGGTTTGTGTGAGAACTGTAGGTTAGAGCATCTCCAATGGTACACTAATATAATATTAATATTTTTATGTTTAATTTATTTAGAAAAATTCATATTAAAATTCTATTATCTATGGTGAGATATTTCTATGACTGTCTCATCAATATAATATTTATATTTTTATATTAAATTTAATTTTTCAATAATATTTTGAAACATATCAAATTATATCTTAAATATAGTCATTCAAACTAAATAATTATATTTATTTATAGAAGTAAATAATATAATGAATATTAATAATTTTAAAAACATTAATTAATTATAAATAATATATTAAAGAGACTATTATTTTTAAAACCACAATTAAATATAAATTGAACTTTAAACTACATATAAAACCATAATAAAGATATATAAAGTAAACACAAAATTACATTTAAAACCATGATAACATAAATTAAAAAGCAAATAAAAACATACAAAACCAAAATAGATAATATAAGTTTTACTCTTCACTTGATGATGCGCCAAACTTTTCCATATATGCTCAACGGCTTTTAGTTGTTGGTGTATATCTCTATCACGAACTCGAATTCGATTGCCGAGAATGTTGCCCAATTAGTAGGCATAGTTGTAGAATATGTAAAATCCACTTGTGTACTCTCATTTTCTTCTCTTTGTTGGAATTAGGAGACATTATATTGAGTGTATTTGTCTCGTTCATCTTCGACTATCATATTGTGCAATATGATGCAAGCTCTCATTATTTTTCCTATTTTAACAAAAAATTTATATTAAATTTTAAACATATCATTTGATTATATTAGAAATTTTGTAAAACAATATGATTAATTATACATCATTTTATCAATAGATTTTAATTATATTAGACATTTTGTAAATAATGACAAAATATAACACATTATTTATCAAAATATCAAAATGTTGACAATATATCATATTATTCATCTCAGTTTATTTTTTGGGAAATTGTTAAAAATACCCCTTTTGGTGTGCCCCTTTTCAAAAATGTCCATTTTCAAAAATGCCCCTTTTTAAATCTGAAATTTTTATAAAGTTTTATTAGGTTTATAAAGTACTTATGGATTGTAACTACTACTTGAAGACTCGATCCAAGTATTTATAAGGTTTTATAAGGTGTTTTAAAAGGTTTTGCAAGTTATTTTAAAGGATTTTTAAGGTTTTTCAAAGGTTTTACAAGATATTTTAAAGGTTTTTAAAGGTATTTAAAATTCATTTATAAGGTATTTATAAAGTATTTATAAGATTTTAGATACATAGAAATGTAGTTTGTGTATGTTTTAATAATATTACATACATATTTGGGTAAGTCTTATATTTTTAAGAGTATTTTTTGTAAGTTTTTTAAAAAGGGGTATTTTTGAAAAGTGGCATTGAAAAAGTAGCATTTTTGCAAAAGCCCATTTATTTTTTAATATTATATTATTTTATTAACTAAAAATATTAATTTACATTTATATTAACCTTAACTAATATCAATTAAAAATAGTATTATATTTAGTTTAAACTTTTGTATAATGAAGCTTGATATATAGATAATTTTATTTTATGAATTGTAGAAAAATAAAAAATAATAACCTATAAACTATTTAATTGATATTATAACTCTTAGAGTAATTGAATTTAAAAAGAAATTGTTAAATCAATCTAAGAGTGACATGCGCATGAGAGAGAGAGTTCCTCAAAATTTCTCAAATGAGAAATCGTGTCTAAACTTTTTTGATTAAAAATATATTTTCTATTTATTTTTATTATGAATGTCTCATGAAAACCACCAATGGAAGTGCTCTTACATAATAACTTTTAATGAAATTAATTAGTAACTTTTAATGAAATTAATCATATAGTTGATTTCTTTTTTGATTTCATGTAGTTGTATACGGCACTTACGAGTTCTGATTGATAACCAAAGAAATGAATTTTTTTTTGTGATTCATTATTCCATTTTTTTAATTCAACCGTCTATTTCTAATTGTTTCTACAACAATTAGCAGCAACACCAATGAGACACATAATACTTTGAATAATCACCATACGATCGTGGCTATGCATATATAAGTATATAACAACATCCTTTTGTAATTTTTAACGAGTGAGGAAGATGTATATAGTGAATAACCTACTTTTCAAATACAACGGCTAGCTGCACATCTCGCTCTATATCGTTATACAAATCTTATCTAGGTTTTGGAAAAATTGAGTCATGCGAGTTAAGTTTAGGTTTTGGAAATAATAAAATATTTTATTTTGTTCTCATGCATGTTAAACCGATTGGAAAAGTCAAAAAAAAATTTAAATAAAAAGATAGGGAGGCTTCGACAATCGACAGCCCAATGGTCATCTATTTTTTTCAAATTTCACATTTAGACCATTGACGACATATGGAGCAAATCATTTTTTGAAGAAAAAATCATAATTTGATGCAAAACATGTATCCAACTCCACTTATCATTCCCATTGATCAACGAATTTATGAGATTAGTTTGTCGACTTTAGTATCAGCCCATAAGACCCACTTTATGCATATTAAAGCAAGTCAATAGATCATAAAGTGTTAATTAGTCAAAATTTGCTTTATTAAACCTAACTATCTTACCCTCTTTTCCATTTTTCTCGTTTCAAGTGTTTGCTAAAAAGATCAATTTTAATTTTCTCGTTTCAAGTATTTGCTAAAAGGTCATAAACTCATAATAACATTAACTCATACCCATACTAAAGCCGTGCAAAAAGTCACTTGTAACAAGGATCTGCGCATTTTTAAAAAATATTACTACATTTGAGTTCGATTTATTTCGAGATTCCAAAACATCATTAACTATATGGAATATGAAATATGAAATTTATTAAATAGATACATTAATATATCCAACAAACTAAATTTCTGCAATTTCTTTTGTTTGCCGTGTTAAAAATTCAATCCTTTCAAAGAAACAATTTCAAAATTATTTGTCAATCAAGATTATTTTTACTAGAAAAAATGATGTTTAAGTCATTAACTCTATTTTTTTTTGGTAACATCTAAACATATTTACTTTATTAAGATTGCATAACCTACTTTTGTGTGTGTATGTCCACAGTCTCTTTAGCATCAGAAATGGCAAGGAAAGTCGGAATTATATTAGAACTATATATATTATACTCCCTCTGTTCCTAGAAGATTGATTTTCTAGAGATTTCACATATTTTAAGAAACAATCATTGTTTAATTATTTATTTTATTTAATGATTTTTTAATAAATCATTAATCAATAGTATTCTGAAACAGTTAATCATTACGTCTTGGAATCTATGATTTATTAATATCAATTAATTAAAAATAAAGAAAAAATCCAGAAAATCAATCTTTGTAGAACAAACCTAAAACACTAAAATATCAAATTTTTAGGAACAGAGGGAGTACTATGCTTAAAAAAAAAGCTGAAAACATTGGAAAAATAAAAAGCTGGAAAGAAAAAAAAGAAGAGCTGTGTTTGTATGGGATGATGAGAAAAAATGAAGAGCAGACGGTTGATGGAATATTGTGTTTCCTCAAATATCAACACTCCTCATTAACCCATTGCTTTTTGTACGGACTTTATTAGTATAAAAGAACACATATCAGACTGATCTATGTAAGCAAAACCAGAACCACCCTCTTTCCAACATTTTTCTTTCAAAAATTATTCTACTTAATTTATTTTCTTCTCTCTTTTTTTTTTGCTTGATTTATGATAATTTGAAAATTTGTTACTAATTTTCTCAACGAAGTAGTATATTAAAATCAGAAAATAAAAATACTGTAATTTTCTAATTAAGAAAACGTATACGATTTCCCTCTTTTTCTACGCCAAACATGTTATTTTGACAAAAGTGATATC